AACTTGCCGTTTTATGGCGGGATCGTTGTATGAAATTCCCTGACTTTTCCAGATTTTGACTAAAACACTTAAATTCCCTGACTTTTTCCTGAATTTTTTGGTCAATTTCCGAATTCCCTGACTTTTTCCGTTTTTCCAGGTAGCATGGCAACCCTATAAAGAGGACAATTTGTGACTTTTTGCTACAAATTGCTTAGGATCTAATTACAAGGGAATCACTGCAAAATCTCTACCAGAACAAAATAAACAAAAACTTAAGTTTAATGATTGATTTCCAAGTTAAATTACACTATGCATAATAATGTATAACAATATGTATATTTTTAATCACTAATTTTTTTTTTTTTTTTTTTTTTTTTTGCAGTTATAAGTCATCATTCTTTTTCTTTTGCAAACAATCACCAAACTGCATCAAGATGTATTAATTTAGAAGTCAAAAAGCATCAAGATGATCGAACTAATACATAAGTACAGGATTTTCAAGCACAGTCACAAACATGGTCGAGACAGCAATATAGACAGTTATAGAAAAACTATAGCTAAAAGGGATATCAATGATATCAATTAATAAATTTGGCTCTACTCTTATATGCGCCCTAATATCACCAAATGTGGAGATATGTGTTCTGTGCCGGTTTTTGGCACGATTGTGTGTTGTATGGCAACCCTGTTGACATTGAAAAATCTTTTGCTGGAATGGTTTAATTGCTCGTTGGTTCGTGTCATGCATGTTTTGAAATGGCCTATGTTGCAATGATAGACATGATGGCAAGATTTAAGTCATGTATTTAAGATTGTGTGGAAAGTAAATTTAGTATTAAAAGGTATGATGTTGAAGTTGTTAACGAGTCTTTTTTTCACGAGTGTGTCAATCCAAGTGTATTTTTGGAATTTCTGTGGGACTTTTAAAATGGAGTCCGAAATGCAGAGCTGCTATTTTTGCATGTGTGAAAACCATGTTTTTGGAGACATTTTAGGCTTAAAATTCGAAATGTAGACAAAAAATTTAGGTAGTAATATGGCTGCGTGGAGTTTCTCACTAAAAATGTTTGGCGAGAAATTCGCCGACCTGAGGGAGCATATAAGAGAAGTTTCATAAATTTTAATTGATAATAAGTGACAAAAATGATAAAAAAATCATAATTATACATAATTACAACTTCAAAACTGAAATGTTAGTACAGTAGAAGTCCAGAAATCCACAAAGCTTGGGACCAGAGATTGTGCAGACTTTAGGATTTTGCGGATTTCGGGACAGAAAAGATAAATCATAATATTCAGACTAAAAGTTCAAAATAAATAAGGTGTATTAGATACATTTATTTAAATTATTATATACATTATTGCAATAACTTATTATATGCATTAAATTATTATTACATATATAAATTGATTACTCATTGTATTATATATACACAGCATCGAGGTTTGACAATTTCACCTAATGCAAAGATTTCCAGTTTCGGATTTCGGTGTTAGAATCACTGTTGCTGTACAATTTCAACAGCTTATCTTTATTTTTCTGTATATCACACACAATCGCATCGCAATTCCATACGATTCTGCTATAAACCAAGGAGTAGCACCTGTCTCCATTCTTTGCAGAATTTGCACTTTTTGCATTACCGTCAATCTACGTATTTACATTTTTCAATGTTGCACGCAATAAAATCATGAGTGCATTTCTTATCTGCAATTGTATTAAAAAGGGCTGAAATTTAAAATATTTTTAATTTATCCACAAAATATCCAGATAAAAAGAAAGCAGCTTTAAATAATCTCATGAAATAACAAAGCTCAGAAAATACAACAATGTGAATCGTAAACTTGAAAGAAGAGTTGAGTGAATCGTCTGCTTTTTTTTCCTCGATGCAGATTAGAGGGGAAAAAACTTTTATCATGATGTCAATAATTTGATATTTTAGTTATGACTCATTATTATTCCATAATTATGACATGATTATTCGGTAAGTATTTTTTCTTCGATATTTCGTACTCAATGCTATGGTTTTCGGAACCTATAAACTGAATGTTTATATTTTGAGAGGCAACGAGGATTTCAGGAGTTGGCGGATTTTCGGTATTTGACAGTATAAATTAACTTAAATTATTACATTATATTAAATTAAATTATTAAGTAAATTACATTCCTTATACCAGTGGCTTCAAAATCAAATTGCATGCAGGCCAAATGCACAATCTAAAAATAAATGATGGGCCACAATTGGAAAAAAGAAAAGTAAGTTTTTGTTTTTGTTGTTGCTTTTGTTATTGTTGCTGCTGTTAACATAACAAAATCAACTGCTAAATTAAAAAACTTTTTGCTACATACTTGGCAAAAATTAAATATAAAAACAAACAGAAAAATTCAAATTTATACTTATTTTCTGCATGAAATTTCTATTGGTCACTACTTGTAAATCAAATGCACTGACAGCTAAACATTAAACTTTTCAAATTGGCATTTATTGACAATTACTTAATTGCAATATAATGAAACCAATAAGTAACTTAATTTTTTTTTTTTAAATGCAAAAACCTGCCAGGGAGACAAAACCTGAGAATAAATAATGAAATCTATCCTCTTCCTTTTATTTAATATATTTTTCTATGATGCATATAGAAGAAAATATTTATATGTAAATAAGTATAAACTTCTTTGTTTCTTACAACACCTTTCAACTACTATAGCTCATGGCACTTCGATTTTCATATAGTTTGTAATCTTGGAGGAAAATTACTAGAAAGTATCTTCATCACAAATTGTAAATACTCAATGGCAGTCTGGTTCTTTCATAGACTTATTACTTACAAATTATCTCACTGAGCGCTGGTGGAAATTTCGGCAACTGTCGATAGTCATTACTGCAGAATTGTAAAACACATAGTCATCTATAATTCGCTCTAAATCACACTACTTGATGATGGTTGATTGGATTATACATAAGTATCAAATAAAATTCCAAACAAAGCAATTATTCTTGTTGCAAAAATTCGTAACCAAAAATATTTATCTTTTGGCAAGCACTAATAAAAGTTAATCAAATTTATCTTCAAATCTTTAAATTAGATTTATGTCACAGCTGCTAATTAATTAGTTCATTTCTAAATTTTCTGGAGAGATACTCACATTCATTTCTGATAATGAAAATAATGTAAAACTGGACTCTAAACCATTAAAATCTTAAAACTTTTTCTTTAAATTCTTATCATAAATAATAACCCTAATTAACTTATGGGAAATATAATCGAGGGCCGCAAGCAGCACACCAGTTTGAAACCAGTTTGCTTTGCACATTATTCAACATAAGAAATAAAAATATTAAACATTCTTTGTACCTGAGCAAAGAAATCAGCAACAAATTAGGGTGGAAATGAAAAATCGGGTAGAGTAGACTTTAAGGTTCCCCTTGTATTATGGCGAAGTTGTTGTTTGATTTATCGCCAAGTTGTTGTTTCATTTATGGTAGCCTGAGTAGTTGAATGTTATGGGAACCCTATTATGATGTAATCGGGTGCATAATTCTGGGAAATTTTGAATCATGGGATGTTTTTAAGCATTTTTCTGGTGTGTGTTAAAACCGTTTAGATGGATTTGAATGGGTTTGTGGGAAGAAAGGTTCAGATGGTCACTATGTGAAGCGTTCAATCAGAAAGAGTACCTGGTTTGAAAAAAGTCATTTGAGTATGATTGATATTTTTATTTTTACGTGGCTCTGGGTGTACGAAGCGAACTCGAAAATCATGGTAAGTGAATATTTGCTTTTGGTAGTACTTAAATGTATAACATGTTTTTCCTTTTTTGTTATTTCATTATTTGGTTTAAAATGTATTTTATTTAGATTATATATTTTTTGTTTGCGTATGTTGTAGACTTTGGTGCTCCTTTGACTTTGTAAGTGAAAATATATCGATGTGTACATGGACAAAGTAAAGGGAGTGCGCAATGCAAGTTTGTGCAATTCTGTAGACTTTGGTGCTCCTTTGACTTTTTAAGTGAAAATATATCGATGTGTACATGGACAAAGTAAAGGGAGTGCGCAATGCAAGTTTGTGCAATTCTGGGATTTTTTTTAAAGTTAAAATAGGTCGACGCATACATGGATAAAATCAAAGGAGTGTGCAATGCCATTTTTGTGCAATTCGGGGGTTTTTTTTTTTTTTTTTTTTTTTAAGTGAAAATAAGTTGATGTGTACATGAATACCAAGTTTGTGCAATTGTTTATCTTGTTATTTTGGCTTTGTGTAGTGGCAAGCCAAAATAACGAGTCAAAGCACTGCACAATCGGTATCCATGTACCGCCAAAAATCGCCAAGGGATACCCTAAATTATACTTTTACTGAAAAATTGGTTCCATATTCTGTTCAGCGCTCTCTTTGCTTCCTTCAACCCTAATTCATTTTAAGCTTGAAAGTCAATCTTAACTGCAGCTGACTGGAAAAATCAATGAAGGTTAAAGAGAAAATTTCTAATTTCACATTTATCTGTTTAAAACATGATACAAAATCGTAGCACATTAATCTACCCATTTAAGTTATTTATTATCTGTTTCAAGACTACCTTTAGTGCATATCAGAAGATTTTAACATTTAATAAAGTGTCATGCTTTTTACATTAATATAACAAAATTTGGATCTTAGCAGAGCCCACATCCTTGGTGCGCTCACTTATATAGCAGGTATCGATGTGTACATGGACAAAGTCAAGGGAGTGTGCAATGCCAAGTTTGTGCAATTCTCAGATGTTTTTTTAAGTGAAAATAGGTCGATGTGTACATGGACACCGAGTTTGTGCAATTTCTTTGACTTGTTATTTTCAAGTTAGCGATTTTGAGAAATGTGCGAAGCAGTGGGTGATTCTGCACTTTCCCGGTTTGTCGCCAAGGGTATGGGTTGTTCTAGAATAAAAAAAAAATTGTCAAAAATTACAATTAATTTTAACCTTTCACCCACATTAATATACAGATGATTTATGCCAATTACAATGTTCTATGATATACCTTGGAAGTTGTTGAAACAAAGAGTTATTTTTTGGGTCACTTTCAATTTCAGAAGCTTGAGCACTGTTAACTACACCACAAAATCTTGGATCGATAGATGCAATCAAGCGCTGCCTTTTCTCCTTTCTACCCATGATATTTTAATTTCGCATGTAACAAATAATATAAACGTTATTCACAATAAATCAGGCGCACTATTTGCTGTATTTGTTCAAACAAGTTTCATTCAACTGATCATGGACTTTTAATTTAAAAAAAAAAAAATCGCATACAAAAATACCGAAAAACACATCACACTCAGATTATTTACATGCCTTTGAATGAAAACATTTAAATTCAGCGCAAGTTTAGTAGTATCGGAGCTCCTCTTCTTACTAAGCCAAACCATAATCCCAATAATACTGTTGCCACTCATTGAATTTAGCATTTCCTGTTGGTTATTGAGCCGAAAAATTCCGTACGGATCATTTGATCATTGTACTAAAATCTACATGTAAATAGTCGCATGTTCGTAAAGTGAAATAAATTGGATGTAAAACGAAGTTGGATTTCGAGTGGAAACAACAGTGACGAACCAGAAGCCGTTGAATTTATGAATCGAACATTACTTTATTAGAAGGTAAACCATATAACTTTATTGCTTCTGAGTTATTTTATACTACGTTTTGTTTCATGCGCAGCATTTATGTTCAATCTGATACAGTACGTTTAAGAAAGGTAAAATGACTAAAGATTCAGAACAGAAACTGAGACTAAATTAAAGGCTGATCCAGCGAAATTTGAAATTAATTTACGAGCAGAAAGAACTAATTTACGCCGTTTCTTTACTATGGCGGCGAATACGTTTGTCAATATTCATTGTAAGATTGATGTCGAAAGGGACATTCATGTTCAGTTTGGCACAGCTGTCGAGAAAGCAGAGCGTCTATTTGAATTAGATGAAGAAATTTAAAATTTAATTAGTTTTACGCATCAAGAATATGATACAATTGAAACTTACAGAGACAAATCTACTGAAATAAGCGCTATATATGAAAAGAATTATAATCGACATAACTGTTGCAACTCATAGGGCTACAACGTGCAGGTGTTACAAATTAAATAATCACAGCAGGGATTATTAATATAAAGATTTAATATGGATATCTCACACAAGCTGAAAACTTTACATTACTTTAACTAGTGCATACATATAATAGATTGAAAAGAGAATTTCCCCGCTTAGTTCTCAATTAAAGAAAAATAAGAATAATAAAAAATAGTCCAATCAGATGCTGCGCTCCGTCTGTTGACCTTCGCCGAGCCGTTATGTAATCGTCTGTCTGCAGCGGCCGTCTCCAACATTCTCCCCCTCTTGAGTCGACTTCAGGTTGGCTCAAAGACATACAGTACTGGTCGAAGAGATCCAATTTGAGGCACCTTGATCAACGTCCAAATCTGAACTTTAGCACCTTGCAGGATGTTACTAGAGTCATTTGAAGAATCATTAGAATCTGAATGCTCATCACTAGAAATAGAAGAAAACAGGATAGTAAAGAGTTATTGTTTATGGGATCAGTGGGTGTGTCCGTTAACTGCACTTCCAATGGAAAAGACTCGCTGAATGGGATGAATCAGCGTACCAGCTTGAGTCTTCGTTCTACAGTTGACCTTGCCATCTTTCCCAGGAATTAGTCGAATGGCCTTAGCTAAAGGCCAATACATCCGTTTTTTGATGTCATCTCCTATTAGGACAATTTCACCCAACCGTAGCTCTGACGATGAATTCTTCTTATTTTGGACTAGAAGTCCTAAATATTCTTTCCTAAATCTATGCCCTAAATCGTTAAGTAGTTTTTGGCGATGTCTAACCCTTTTTCGAAGACCTTTCGTATCGCAGAAATCAACATCAGGAACACCTAAGCTACGATTCTCGATGAGAAACATGGCTGGGGAAAGTGGGATTAAATCATCCGGATTTTCCGACACATAGGTAAGAGGTCTATAGTTAATTATTGACTCGCAGTCGCACAATACTGTGTACAACTCCTCGGTTGTAAGAACCGCGTTACCGAGTGTCCTTCTCAACAGTTCCTTTACTACATGAACTAACCTCTCCCACCAGCCTCCTGAAAGCAATCTGTCGGGTTAAATCACCTGGAAGATGGCGCAACACTGAAAAATCAGATGTTATCTCTTTTACCCTATTCGCAACGAAAAACTGACCAATCACCACGGTTCTTAATCCACAGAGTGCTACCATAGAATGACTCCTGCAATAATTTCAAATCAGGCATGAATAAGGCAGCGTTATACGAGTGAACCAGTCTCGTACCAATGCAACAGGCATCAATTCTAACCGAGGTATTGTCAGAGATTTACGCGCTACCCTGAATTTGGCTCTGATCAATCGAATTTTGACTCCCACGGGCGTTACAGTTCTAATGTAATACATGCACCATAGGAGCTCTTCATGCATCAACAAAAGATGCAGCTCTGAATTCTCCTTATCTCTACATATCGTGGAAATCCTTTTCTCAGATATTTTAATCCCGCCTTCTGTTCTGAAATTTTCTGATTGTTTTCGGCAAGGGGTCATCCC